TGATTGATTGAATACTAATGACTGACTGATTGATTGATTGTTTTCATCTACAGGATGCCATGATACATTCTCCAAAAGGATGAAGGAGCACAAAAGTTCTTTAGACTCAGTGTACGCCAAAATGTGCTCCAATATTTACTCTCAGCTACGATTGGTCGAGCAAGTTCATCCAGTCAAAAGAATCGACGCTGACCTTATGATGGAGCAAAGCGTGGTGTGTAGCCTGCTGGGATACTACGAGTTTTTAACACCTCGGCGCCTGTCGAACATTTTACAGTGGCAGCGGTCGAGTGGATGTTACGGAAACATCGAAAACGAGAACGACTTTGGCCAGCATCAGACCAGGCGAACCATGAGGAAACTTCTGACGGGAAAAGAATTGTCAGGTGAGAGATTTTAGAGCAGACTTGTTTTCTAAGAGCCCAGTCAAAGTAATTCGCAACCTTTGTGATATTCTGCATCAGTTCTTTGCCTTTTCACAACAACAAATTATTATAATGATGCTCCTCTTGCATTGTTGATGATCGCCCGAACCCTTCGGAAGAAGACCGAGAATTACCCGAGGGACGTACACCGACTATTATCCTTAGATACGACCCAGGTTTCGAAGATTGATTAGAATTGTCCACTCAGATATATTTTGCTTTTATCAAGTGTGATTAGATCGAAATGATATAAAAAGTTAGAATAACAAAGACGAGTGTTATTTTTGTCTGAGTTATATAAAACTGGTATGATTGGTCCAGGATTGTGGTAGATATACAGTCGACTCCCGATAACCTGAACCCTTGCTAATTATATTCGAAACATTGATTTTACCTTGGATTTCCGTCATACATTTACTGTACTTTTGCAACTATCTCTCTTAAAAGGTAATTGCACGAGCTCTGTAGCAGTACCCCGAGGTTGTTCTCTTGAAACTCTGTAAAGTTCGTAGTACCTGGACTTCTCTGCTGCTTTGCTTCTTTGTTTTTGTTTCCCATTACGTTTAGACGTTCTGATTTATATGGTAATTTTGAAATGAATTGTTCCATTTTCAATCAGTTAATAGCAGTATGACAGTAGGAATTCTATTCTCACGTAACGGGGCCGATTTTTTGTCCTTTGTTTATTTCACAGATGGATGCGAATCACATATAACCGGAGTTGGTACTGCACTGCTATCGATTTATTTTCGCTTCCTGTTTCTGAACAACATGCCAGACGGAAATTCAACTATGACGAAGACAAGTACATGAGTGCAGAATTACAGATTACCTACCGTAAGAAGCCTATGAAAAATTAATGAAGTGCTCGTTTCAGCTAGTAACAAGTACGTGTCAACTAGTGCAAGCCCTCCCTAGCCTGCATTAGGGAGTGACGGTCATAAAGGCGAAGAACAAACATGGCCATGCGAAAACTGTCTTACCATGTTTTTTTCTCGGATATTCTCGCTGTCTTAGAAGTTGAAAATCAATTAAGTTGCTAAGCTGTTTTTGACTTAAGTTTCCTAATTTTTTAAGCTTTTATGTTCCACAATAAGGTAATGTCTCGAGAAACAGGGAATAAAACAAGATAGTACACTGACTAAACACGACTACTTTCAGCCGGGTTGATCGATACATGAAACTACAAACCTCCTGACGCCAGATTATAAGAGGTTGAGACTTTGAAACGCGTTGTCATCATCGCGTTCTGTTCTTGGGCATGACAATTAGATCTCCTAAATAGAACTATAAACGCTTTTTGGCTTGTTCCTTCCAAGAAATAAAAATACGCATATGCAGGGGAAACGTGCTATTGAATAGCATCGATCCCTCTCAGCGGAGTTTTAAACTGGATTTTTCTTGCGTTTTCTTTTTCTTTTTCAAAAAAAACCTAGTATTTTGTAATGCCCTACTTTATTGACTTCGTTATTAAAAGGCAAGGTGGGAATTAATGTATTACCCGCGGAATGACATTCGTTTACGGCATCGTCAATTACCAGTTAAGCCTGTAATGTCAACATATATGTGGTCCTTCTGGGCTTGTAGAAGAGTTATGCATCGGCATACTGGAGAAACATTAAATATTAATTGAACGCTAGTGTTCAACCATTGAAAGTACTGCAGTACTGTTTATTCTAAGCTTTACTGCAGGGTGACTTGAATTTTACGTCTGTGGATGAAACCCTGGTGTGCTATCACAGTGCTGTCCACTGCTTTCATGGGAATTCCACAACCACCATCTTGCGAATTCATCGTCAATTCTTCACTACCCTTCCATAGTTCAAGCTAGTTTTCGTCATTTAACCCAAGTAAAGATAATAAATAGTCGTTTCTTATTCTTTTAAATGGACTAAAGCTCGATGAAAGTCTAAGCCTGTTCAGTTACGTGGAGTTGACCCGGTCAGTGGATAAGTGGCGAGGTGGACAACCTCTGGGAGCAAGGAGGTTAAACCCTGGTGTGCTATGATTTCAGTGTAAGTTATTCCACAGCACTGTGTAATGCTTTCATGACTGTTCAACATATGTAGTTTTTTCATGTGCAGATTTGCACTAGAACTTTCCAAAAGAATCGCAATCGCGATATCGTTGTTATATTTCTGGACGCAGTCTATAAAACAATTGTTAATCACCGTCCTCAACTTTCACAGAGTTGTTATAGCGTGCAATGCCAACTGAAAACTGGTCCGCACAATCATCCCAGGAAGTTTCATTCGAACAAGTATCATTCAAAAGGTGTAGGATCTCTTTCCAGACATCCCTGTCAACCTGCCTGCCATAACCAAGATGCTGATCGTCAGCGTAATCTTCATTGGTGGTAGTGGTGCATTCCCCGTCTAGGGCGACGTTGTCGACATAGGCGGCATTGTGAACAATATCGTCATCGGAATCCTCGTCACCATCGTATTCTTTATCATCGTCGTTATCAGCTGATAACGAAGACCTTGTTGTCAGTATGTGGCAAATCCTGTCATTAAATTGCCACAGAGGGTCATTGCTAGATGTCGATGTAACATCAGATGCGTGATATTCATCCCTTGATTCCCAAGTCATTCCTTCGCTCTCGACTGATTCTGACTCCTCGCTGATGTCGGAATGAAAGCACTCTTTGATTTCGGTGTCGTTCGTCATCTTCTTGGTTTTAAAAGTTTCCCAAAGAGAAAAAAGTCCAGCATCGTTTTCCTCTCCAATCACCACAGCTGCGTTCTCATGAAATGTATCTGAGGTGGCGCCGAATGAAACCTTTCGGCTTCGATACATAACTGGTGTGGCCTTTGCTGCGAAAGACCAGTTCGATCTCCAAGCTTTATTTTCGAAACTATCGTCGTCGACATCGACATTGCTTTCCGACGGTTTATCTCTATTATCTTGATCGTTTGTTCTCTCAAAAGAGTTAGGATAGTCGTTATTGTCTGGCTTGTAACCGAAAACAGTTTGCAGAATCCTACGCACCATGAATTCTGCAATTTCTAACTCTTCTTTTTCTTGGTCAAGGCATGAGTTAGAGTATGAATCATTAAGAACGGCCACAAACATATTTGTTATGAAAATCACTGTAGTGAAAACGAAACCAACGAGAAACAGTCTGCCCATTATGATCCCGCCTTCTTCGATTTCCCGTATCAATTCGTTGTTTCCAATGATCGTGAGAAACTGCGAGATGAAAGCTTTGCGAAAAGACGAGAACAACTCATTTTCTGACCCGAATGCAATCATCCCCGATAGTGCGTAACCAGTTGATAGCACGCAAAAAATCACGAAAAACGAGATTAGTGACGGTAAATGACTCCTCATGAAGGACGACAGCTTTATCACTTGATGGTTGAAGTGGAAACACTTTAGAAGGCGCAGTGTGGCTATTGCAGATGTTGTACATAATGCCACGGTCTCAGCCTCGGACCAAAAAAGCGCTTGATGGAAGCTCACTGGGGCAAAAGGATTCTCTTTTAATCTGCCTAACGTTATTTTAACCTGTTGAGATTGTATTGCTTGGAAGATCAATGCAAGAGATGCGGTTAAAATCTGAAAAACTTCCATCCAGTTCCACAAGGATTTGAAATATGAGCATTTTTGTTGGAAAAACTTGATGCATTCTATAATAAAGTAACAAAGAAGAAAGACCCCAAACAGCAGCACAAACAACAGATACGTGTTGTGGGCCTGTGAATCGGTAGAAGCAAAAGGTAACATTCCATAGATTTTAAATGTACCGGAAAATCCAGATGGAAGTATCTCATAGAAATACGACATGACACTGAGGATATTGGTCGATGGGTTAAACAGTGAGAACTCGACTATCACAGCTCTGGTTCGAGAATCGATCCAATTATTTTCAACTAAATCATTGATAACCCTTCTGGCTGCAAGCTTGTTATATCCCAAGTTAGCTAAGTATCCACCTCCACGGTAAACAGCGAAACGACCCCAAGAATCAAAGCTGCCGAGAGCTTCATCCTTGCTATACTTCCAGTTCTCTGGACATGACCATGAAGATCTGTCGAACGATCCTGTTTGGGAATCCCAGAAATCTGTATCTTCATCTTTAGGAGAGTACGAATCGTGACAAAAATTGATCATTTTTCTGAAAATAGCAGGGACTTCACACGAGTCTATGGTGGAAAAAAAAAAAAAAGAATAAAACGTTTTAAATGAAGTATCGTAGCTTCTTTAACTTTCTGTCGCCCATTTTAGAATATACTCAGGGCTGGGGAGGGAGATAGACAGCTAAAGAAATTTGTAATCGTGCCCTATCTTAAAACGTAACTGTGAAAGCTTTATTGTATAATATATTCGAGGGAAGAGAGTTTGAATGAAAAGAATGTTCTTTCGGTGCTATCGCACAGATTGTAGACCGGGTCGACGCCCAAACCATTTTACTAAAAACCATAAAGATTTGAATTCGATTTTGTAAGAGACTCTAATGATTTTCCGAAGAGGCGCTTTTAGTACAAAACACTGCTTGTGACGAATTATATTTTAAGTACACCTTAGTCACACAGAGATACGCCTGAATCACACTGACTTTTGGTAAAAAATAAAAAATAAGCTAAGTGACTTAATCTTACTTTTCATTATTCTGAGTTGTCTCAGGCGAGGCATGCCGACCAAGACTGAACGCTTGTTTCCAATATATTCTGAAACTTTCTCCTCTTGGCCATTGTACCAACTGCTTGAAAAGATCGCTCCAACAAATACTTCATTCATCCATTTCCAGAATTGGGTATTGTTTCTTATCTGAAATATAAAGCAAATAGGGTGGAAAACTTTTAAAGACGGCGTTAAATAAGATTTCATTTACATGCTTCATGTCTGCAGAGAAACTAAAAAAGATTTGCCTTGCTTATTCCGTGCTTCAAACTGCTTAGACTTAGATTTACATGCATATTCATTTACTGGTTTTGGAATCTCTCGTTGAAAATGCTCGACCGGTAGGGTAGTAATTAGCAGTTCCATGCAGAGTTGGCGTCGAAATCTTGGTCTATGGCAGTAAAAATTACTACTTTCAAGCACAGTTTAAATTTGGTGTCTCAGCTTTTTCGTTCAAGTAAATCCAGTGTTGAATGTATATATGGCAACTTTAAGGAAAGGTTTTATCAAAGCTTGGAGCACAAGTTGAATAAAATTTCTGTCTACACATACAGTTTTTGATATCTATCACTCACCTTGTCAAAACGCTGGAATCCATTCTCCGTAGAATCAGTCAGTTCATGTCTATACACATTTTTGTCGCTATAGCATACAACCATCAACAGCAAGAAGAACAATAGAAGAAAGAATAACTCTTTGATAAATTTGAACATCTTCCTCTCGTTGGTTTTAAACTTCTTAGCTTGTTTTAATTCATCGGAGGACAAATGAAACATGGGCTGAACATTGCTCTCCCGCGCTGATCCTCGAAGCCGCAACCCGCGACCACATTTGGAAGCCACAATAAGTGACACAATAACAATCTTGATTGGCTGAGAAATGAATACGTCACCAGTGACTGATAACACGATAGACGACAACCATCGAGCTGACTTCTCTCCTCCCCACATGAGGGAGTAAAAGATTGTGAACAGCGCTGAAGCGATAGATGCGCTGACACAGAGAAACCAAGCTATATATGTGCAAAAATGAGGAAGTAAACACTCCCTTTTTTGACTACTCGACTGATTGTATTTCCTTCCTTGGAGATGACTTTTAGGCTCACTTTTGCGAAACAAGAACGTAATTAAAACGCTTGGTGGCAGCGTGATGAAAACTGTTTCCAGTGCAATGATTAGTTGACTCGGAGGAACTTTGAAAGGTCCTATAGCGATGGTCTGTTGATTGGCATTCTCCGTTTCGTAAAACATTGCTGATGTTACCATGTACAAGAAAAGAAAACAGCAACAGCAAGAGGCTCTTTGAACACGCGTAAACGAATTCCTGGGCTGTTTGCTGACCACTGACCACCACAAGTGCTCGTCAGCAAATCCATTCTTCTGGAGCATGCTGAATTTTCTTTTAAATTCCATTTCACTGCCCTCTACACTCTCAGAGTAAAGTGCTCTTGTGGTATTTCCATCGTCCCGCTCCAAGGCCAGCCAACGATAGCAGGTAAATAGCCAATGAAGGCCTGTTTGGCAGTCAGTAACTGAGATCTCGCTAAGGAACCAGGATGCCGTTTTGCCAGAGTTGTCATGGCCGATCTGCACCTTGATTAGGGACCCCAACGGTTGCCGTAGACTTATAAGGAAGTTGTCCGTGTTTCCCTGGGCAAACAGCTCTCTGTCCGTCAGGCCTCCATCTGTCAGGCTGATTACGTCACTGGCAGACTCCATTCCGTAAAGGATCATGGACACATTAGCCGAGGTTCCAGAGTTCCTCCACCCTCCGGTTGTAATGGAGACTTCATATTCGTATCCAACGCCATCAGTATATTTTAACAATATCAGAGGACCATTCTAAATCAAACGAAATAAACGGAATGTTGAACAAGTTCAGTATTTTTTATCATCACTCGTCAAAAACAACAGAAATCCTAAAGTTCCCAGTGATTGATTTTTTATATATTTGCCCTGTTTCCATAGTTTCCGGTACAAAACGGAAACAATCTGCGTTTAGGAACCAATGTATGATCAGAAATGATCAGAGCAAGCAACATTGTCATTTCCATTGAAAGTCCATTTACAAAATTTCTAGTCCACATTGGGTGATGCCACAGACTATATTCAAAACACTGTGCATGCTTACATTGAGCTCCACTGATGGAAACTAAGTTAAACAATAAATGAAAGAAGAAAAAAACCAATATGCACAAGTATTTTGTCTAAACGGACTACTTATGCAAATGTAAACGTTGAGAAGTTGCTGCATGCTGTAAGGAGCTTTCGCCAATAACTGCGTGCTTGACCTCCACTTTCCAAAACTTGCTAATCACCGGACCGGAGCAGACTTGAACTAAATAACTTTGTTTTCAGTCTTTTATTACTCTGTTTAAGTGCCATGGGGCGCGGTTGTCTTATGGTTAGTGCGCTCAGCTCCA